CGCAGCGTTTAACGCTAGAACCTTATCTAGTGAGGGAAGTCTAGCTGTACTATTCGAGGAGCTAGAGGGTGTTAAATGGGATATAATAGGGCTCAGTGAAGTTAGGAGGATAGTTGAGGCCTATACAGTGCTACAGAATGAGCACGTGCGTCCTTTGCTATCGGGGCTTGGCTGGCAGAACAGAACTGGGAGTGGGGTTCCTAATTCACAGAAACATAGCTGGCAACATAGAGGAATACTATAGCATTATTGAAAGGGTCGTAGGTATCGTAATTAAACTGAATAAGAGATACAAGATGAAGGTGGTACAGGCTTACGCGCCTACATCCAGCCATGATGACGCTTCAGTTGAAAGCTTCTATGAAGACGTGGAATCGGCAATGAGTAAGGTAAAAACACAGTATACTATACTGATGGGAGACTTTAATGCAAAGGTAAGGAACAAGCAGGATGGAGACCGGGCAGTAGGAGACTATGACATCTGTACTAGAAACGCCAGAGGAGAGCTACTAGTAGAAATCACAAAACGCAATAATTTACGGATTTTGAATACCTTCTACCGAAAACGAGGAAACCGCAAGTGGACATGGAGGAGCCCTAATGCGAAAATAAGAACGAAATACACTTTATAATGAACGTACACCCAGGCATCGTGCAGGATGTGGAAGTGGTTGGCAAGGTACGATGCAGTGACTATATAGAATGGTGCGGTCTCGAATTCGCCTAGACTTGAAGAAGGAGCAACAGAAACTGACACGCAAGAAGCCAATCAATAAGCTAGCACTGAGAGGGAAAGTACAGGTATTCAGAGTCTCGCTTCAGAACAGGTACTCGGCTCTTATTAAGGAAACCAACATTAGCGTAAATACACTGAATGATAATCTGACGAGTATCATTACGGAGTGTGCAGTGGAAGTTGGAGGCAGGGTAGTTAAAAAGGACACTCGCAAGCTTTCCCAGGAAACGAAGAATCTCATTAAAAAGCGTGAAATCATGAAAGTCTCAAGTACAACAGACAAAATAGAACTGACAGAGCTTTCGAAGTTGATTATTAGACATAAGGTATGCGATGTAAGAATGTATAACATGGAGAGAATTGAACACACTCTGAAAAACGGAGGAAGCGCCAAAGCAGTGAAGAGAAAACTTAGGATAGGCAAAAATCGGATGTATGCACTAAGGGACAAAGAAGGCAAAATAACTACCAATATGGATAGGATAGTTAAAATAGCGGAGGATTTTTACAAAGATCTGTACAGTAGCCAGGAAAACCATGACCTTAATAGTATAAGAACTAGCAGTAACCCAGATGACACCCCAACAGTAATGATAGAATAAATCAGAAAAGCTTTGGAGAGCATGCAAAGAGGCAAAGCTGCTGGTGAGGATCAGGTAACATCAGATCTGCTGAAAGATGGAGGACAGATTGTGTTAGAAAACTAGCCACCCTGTTTACGAGGTGTCTCCTGGCGGGAAGAGTACCAGAGTCTTGGAAGAACGCTAACATCATCTTAATACATAAGAAAGGAGATGACAAGGACTTTGAAGAATTACAGGCCGATCAGCTTGCTCTCTGTAGTATACAAGCTATTTTCAAAGGTAATTGCTAACTAAGTAAAGAAAAACATTAGAATTCAATCCACCAAAAGAACAAGCAGGATTTCAAACAGGCTACTCAACAATCGACCACATGAATTCATACTATCAATCAAGTAATAGATAAATGCTCAGAATATAACCAACCACTATACATAGCCTTCATAGATTACGAGAAGGCGTTTGATTCAGTAGAAATATCAGCCGTCATGCAGACACTGCGGAATCAGGGCGTCGAGGAAGTATATATAAACATCCTGGAAGAAATCTACAGGGGATCAACTGCTACCATAGTGCTTCATAAAGAAAGCAACAGAATACCAATCAAGAAGGGTGTAAGGCAGGGGGGCACAATCTCCCCAATGCTATTTACCACGTGCTTACAGGAGGTTTTCAGAAGCCTAGAATGGGAACAGTTAGGAATAAGGGTTGATGGAGAGTACCTTAGTAGCCTGCGCTTTGCCGATGACATTGCATTTCCGAGTAACTCAGGGGAAGAATTGCAACTCATGATTACTGAGTTTAAACAAGGAGCGCAGAAAGGTGGGTCTTAAAATTAATCTGCAAAAAACGAAAGTAATTTACAACAGCCTTGGAAAAGAGCAGCGCTTCGAGATAGGTAATAGTACACTTCAAGTTGTAAAAGACTATGTCTACTTAGGGCAGGTAATAACCGTGGAGCCGAACCACGAGACTGAAGTAACTAGAAATATAAGAATGGAGTGGAGCACATTTGGCAAGCACTCTCAAATTATGAAAGGTAGATTGCCACTATCCCTCAAGATTTGATTGATATGTGGGGTTTAACGTCCCAAAACCACCATATGATTATGAGAGACGCCGTAATGGAGGGCTACGGAAATTTTGACCACCTGGGGTTCTTTACCGTGCACCCAAATCTGAGCACACGGGCCTACAACATTTCCGCCTCCATCGGAAATGCAGCCGCCGCAGCCGAGATTCGAACCCGCGACGTGCGGGTCAGCAGCCGAATACCTTAGCCACTAGACCACCGCGGCGGGGGCTATCCCTCAAGAGGAAGGTATATAACAGCTGTATTTTGCTGGTACTTAGCTACGGAGCAGAAACTTGGAGACTTACAAAAAGGGTTCACCTTAAATCGAGGACGACGCAGTGAGCAATGGAAAGAAAAATGGTAGGTGTAACCTTAAGAGACAAGAAGAGAGCACAGTGAATTAGAGAACAAAACGGGAGTTAAGGATATCATAGTTGACATCAAGACGAGGAAATGGACATGGGCCTGGCATGTAGCACGTAGACAGGATAACCGCTGGTCATTAAGAGAACTAAGTGGATTCCCAGAGAAGGCAAGCGGGTTAGGGGGAGACAGAAGGTTAGGCGGGCAGATGAGATTAAGAAGTTTGCGGGTATGAATTGGCAGCAAGCAAGCACAGGACCGGGTTAACTGGCGGAACATGGGAGAGGCCTTTATCCTGCAGTGGACGTAATCAGGCTGATGATGATGATGAGAGGCGGGTAATGCACGTGTGATTTTTGAGCGTTTCCCGTCATTTGTCGAGGGAAGATAAATCAATTTTCAGCTGACTTTGATAATCTATTGTGAATTCCAGGCCGCGTGCTGCGCTATAACATGTGGCTCGCGCGTTCACGTGAGCCTCTACTACGGATCGGCAGCGTTTTCTGACCATGCTCAAAAAATGTTGCAGGGCCCCTTCAAGGTGAACACGGCTCAGCGTGGCAGTGCTTTGCGGAGCGCCAGTGCATTCGACGTAACCGCGCATCGAATCGAGGCGCACTCGAGCGCGCCGCGCTTGCTGTATTACAGCCAAGTGGACCGGCGCCTCGCATCTATGCAACGGCACGCTCGAGCAATGTCGCAGACGGCGCAAAGTATCTCCCATGTGTCCGTGTGCGCTTGCGTCACTATGCGGTTTGATGCCCGGCCAGCGCGGCTACGACAGCTGCAACGGCGATGTGCGGAGCGCCGCCGCACTGAATTGTGTTCATCCGGACACTGGAAGACATTGTACACAGGTCATGCGTTATTTCTTTTAAAAAAAGAGAGAAAAGCTTGTGCACACGTGTGTAGTTGTGGATGCAGGTTTTCTTTCTGTTTTTACTCCAGTGAAAAGTGCAGCTTATAACTCACTGTGGTCTTCAAATGGAGTACCTCCAGCCAGAAGAAAACAGAAAAATTTGTATTAAAAAGGAATAAACACCGCAAACAGTTGTTTATTCCAGTGAGCTTTACGCATGGTAATATTTACTTTTCAATCATTGATAATTATGTTTCAAAGCAAAACTCTAGACTCCAATGCAAGTTGCCGTGCTGGTTGACCATTTATTCTGAGCCACGCCGCTGCACTTTGCTGTCAGCTTACGTCATACAGTGCCGCATGTAACAGTCCCTCTTCATAACAAAAATAGGAAATAGTTTCCGCAAAAGTGACGTTATTCTAAAAGAGCTGAATGCAGTGTAGCCCCTTGTACAGGAAGCAATGCGCACTGTAGCAGCATAAAGCAGCAATATTTGTTGCAAGAAAATGAGCGAGCAACCTGGCAATCTGATCGAGCTGCTTGGAACTGATATTCATTCCTCACTTTCTCTTTGCACTCTCTCTATACGGGTATTACAGCTTCCACCAGTACATTGAACAACTTCTGACAGATTATACTGCCACTCACGTCAGGGGGGAGGGGTACACCCTAGAAATGCGAAGCGTGTATACAATTAACATACACTGGTGTATGCAAGAGTATACAGGGCACACACAACATTCGTCATGCGCACTCGTTTATCTTTTGGACGCGTCTTTGTTGGTAGTTTTTCTTGAAGTTGGCCCGAGCGTCGGCGGTAAGTTTCAAGCTATAGTAAAGATACTTCCTAAAGAAGACACTCATGCCAGGGAATTTGCGTAAAGCTAAACAAAACTAAATTTCTCGACTAGTGGATATTCTGACGCATTCTCATTGGGGGTCATGGACACACATAATCAGTATACTCCAAACAAGTGCTTCGACATGCACACGTTTCCTTACAACAGCCACAGTGTAAACAACCACCAAGCTCGACGCGTGAACTTTGGAGACCGAGGTACGCGCTGCGGGCACGACCGAGACTATTTACAATAAAGGTTCCAGCGCGTGGCTTCCACAGACCCGAGAGCCTCCGTACACCAGCGCTTCTGGTCACTGAAAAGATGCAAACATGTCCGCGCGTGTCGGTCGCATCGGTTAGCTCCGGCAGCCGGGATTACAGGACGTAATGGCCTTCGGTTCGGCCACGTGCGCGTAATATGCAGAGGGCTAAAGGACGCCGTCCAATAGAGCGCGGCGAGTGACTACGTGACGCGCCCGATACATCGGCCGCGGCACAGAGTGTGCACTTACGCACTGTACATATACGTGCGTAAACAACTTACCGCGATGCGTGGCTTGCGACGATGCGTGTGTGCGCTGCTGTGCGCTCTGCGTTCACTTATGAGACGATGTCCTCGTGTCAGCGATAAGGGGAACAAAGGGCGGCGCGCGCTGTCCGCGACATGGGCGACGGCTTCTCGCGCCCCCTCGACGATATATTGTCGCTCCGCGCAAGATATCGCACTCGCGCACACCGAGGGACGCCGGCCCTATCAGCAGCATTGCCGCGCACGGTGCCTCGGTAAGTACACAACAGCGCCCACTCGAGCTCCTAGCTGAAGTTACGCCCTGGGAGACGCCACGATACACGCATAGTATCTGCTACACAGTGCGCCGTAGTCGTGTATATATATATATATTATATATATATATATATATATATATATATATATATATATATATAATTATATATATTATATATTATATATATATCTATATAAGTATATTATAGTTGGTTTACGCCATAGTGGAGGACTCGGGCTTCCATTGCGATGGGCCTCTACACTTTCGCCTCCATCAAAATGCGGCCGGGATCGAACTAATGACGTTTGGGTGATCCGCCGAGGCAGATAGATAAACACATAAATAGTTCATTTACACTTAATTATTGGTTCTAAGGCGTATACTACGATTTACAAACAGATTCGTAGGACGTTCCGCCTCAAACTATTATTCATCATCATGATCATCAGCCTTACTACTCCCACTGCAAGGCAAAGACCTCTCCCACGATCCGCCAATCAACACGGTCTAGCGCTTTCTGCTGCCACGTTATACCTGCATGCTTTTTAATCTCATCAGCCCACCTAACTTTCTGCCTCTCTCTCTCTCACGTGCTTGTCTTCTCTGGGAATCCAGTCAGTTACCCTTAATGACAAGCGGTTATCCTGACTACGTGGTACGTGCCCTGCCCATGTCCATTTCCTGTTCTTGATTTCAACTATGATATCTTTAACCCCAGGTTTCGTTCCCTCACCCACTCTTCCCTCTTCTTGTCTCTTAAAGTTACGCCTATCATTTTCCCTTCCATCGCTCGCTGCCTCATCCTCAATTTAAGCTGTCAATTTAAGCTGAACCCTCTTTGTAAGCCTCCAGGTTTCTGCTCCGTAGGTAAGTACCTGCAAGATGCAGCTGTTATATACCAGAAGTAATATTCAGGGCTACGCTAATTTCCAGATATTCATATCTTCAAGTTGTCCGATGAAATTCACGAGTGTTTTCTAAGAACGAGGGAAGTTTGTTTCTTTCGTTTCTTTTGTTAGACACAGCCAGTAATGAATCCAACGGACCCTTAAGTCGAGGAAGGTATAGGGGATGTTACTCATTATTTTAACCTATAGTAATTATAACATGTATGAAAAACACAAAGGGGACGAAAACATTTGTCGGGAGGGAGGGTGGACAAATCATTTTTTAATAACGTGCTATTATTGCTCAGTGGGCAGAGCATTGGAGCCGTAATGCGAGGATCCCCACCGACGGGCAAACGTATTTTTCGTTCACTTTAATTCACCTTCATTTATGACATTAAGAATAAGCCACAATTAAATAATAAAAATAATGTCCTGCCTTCTTGGTTGTATTCAGGTTTTTTTTCTGCGTTCCGTAAATAATTGTGTGTTTCATGGTAAAAAATAACTGTACTAAAAATAAAGTGTAACTGGAGCAACGGTGCACGCATGCGGTGGCATTCACTGAACATGCGCGGATTCTCAATATTTCGTTCCAAGAGGGTATTCCATGCCTGTTTTCCGGCGAATACTTGCTATTGGTATAGTATACTTATAAAAGTATGAAATCATCAAAGAATTTAGTCGATTACGTATTTTGCTATACCGCGCTCGACAATCGAACCCAAAGACAACACATTTATACGTTGTCACCAACAGGCCACATAAATGACACATTTTTATCTGACTATACACGCGTTTTATACATGTTCATTGTGTGTTCGTGCTATTAACAACCTCCGGAGATTTCCGCAGCAACTAAAGCTAATCAGTGACAGTGACATAGCTTACCGGCTACATTTCAAGTGTTTTCGTGGTGCGTCATTATAGGCCAAGCGGCTATCTGCCTCTATAGTCGCTAGCATCGATTATATAGGATCGACCGGTGTGAGTTTGGCCACACGATATCCATTACGTAAAAATTTTAAAAAGAAAGGCGGGAAGTAACGTTCGGCAAATATCGACGTTGGCACAATTTGCAGCTGTATTTCACTAGACCGATTACGTTCTTTACACACGATATAGGCTGATCACAATAGCTCACGATAGGCCCCAACCCCGGTAGCCCATATAACAATTGTGGGCGAAACGCCGCTCGGACAACTGGAGCATCTCGAAGAGGAAGTACCTTGGAGTATAATTAGTGCATCATCCAGGTCCACGTGTGAAATACAGTGAGATTGCAGCTTTGAAATGTATTAATGATCATTTGCACGAACAGCTGATATTTACAGACCTGCGAAAGCAGTTTCTATTTGAGGGCTATCTCGCCTGTGAGTATATCTTTTGTATAGGCGCGCCTGACCACACAATGAAACACAGCTGGCGTTGTCCGAACCCACTAGGAACATTCCACTGATAACATTGTGTGCGGCTTGCTCACTGTATCTTGCTAAGTCAACACGGGCGAGTGTGATAGTCAACCCTCCTACTGTTGGCGCTTTTTCGAGCCACCGGGCTGATTAAGTGTGACGCCCAACGAAAGCGGGAACCTTGGTACACCGCATTACGACAGTGTTTGTCTTCCCCAGGAACACCCGCACAGCGTTCACCGGTGCAGCTAAAAAGCGCCATCTGCCATGCATGCGTGCCGAGCACTGTATGCACGTCACAACTGTGGTTTTATTGAATGGGAGGTCAATCGAATTTCGAACAGCCAATCGAATAGCGTTCCATTCGATTCTATACTGAAACCGAATGGTGCGTCTTTGAAATACAGCTCGCCCCGGCGCGGTGGTTCCTAAGCCACTATAGTGGCTTAGGAACTCAGCTGCTGACCCGCAGGTCGCGGGTTCGATTCCCGGCTGCGGCGGCTGCATTTCCGATGGAGGCGGAAGTGTTGTAGGCCCGTGTACTCATTTGGGTGATTTGGGTGCACGTTAAAGAACCCCAGGTGGTCAAAATTTCCGGAGTCCTCCACTACGGCGTCTCTCATAATCAAATGGTGGTTTTGGGACGTTAAACCCCACAAATCAATCAATCAAATACAGCTCAAATATCTTGCGAAGAAAAAATCTTTTGGAAAAGTGATGAAGGTCACGAGGCGCGCGTGACGTATTTTCTTTCACCATGCCATCCCTCCCCTGCTAAGCTTCCAGCACTTTCTTCGGGACTAGAGAGAATGCGATTGAAGCGTGCGATAAATCTTTGAACCTTCACTCCTACTGGGCAGATTTTTTTTTTTTGCAGCGTTGAATTCGTAAGGTGATAAGCTCATTTAGTGAATCCACTCCATGGTTACCTGAAAAAGTGTTTCAATGCCCCTTTAACAGATGTATACATAGATGTAATAAAGCTTGGTAGAAGAGTAAGGCAACACAAAACGTTTCACAATGCGAATTGCGTAATGAGCGGGTGGTTTAATGCTTCCCACCCATTGCAAAGGGCTCAGCTGTAATTACTCATTGTCACCCGTCATAGGATCAACAAAATTTTGTAGGATGGTTGTCAGCTTCAGCTTAGCTGAACGCAACAGCGCAATCTGACTCTTTCACATCACTTTCTTAATCGGTGGACACCTAAACCGTGCCGCAAGGAAGCAAACATCTATGCGCCTGCAAATTCATACTTTGTCCTATAGAATACTTAATTCAAAATACGGCTCCGAAGCGCCCATACTTTGCGACATAATCCTTCCATTTGCGAGTTCGTGAGTTACCCATAATGCCCCGCCGTGGGGGTCTATTGTGCCTAAGGTACTCGGATGCTGACCCGCAGATCGTGGGATCGAATCCCGGTTGCAGAGGCTGCATTTTCTATGGAGGTTAAAATGCTGTGTGCCCGTGTGCTCGAATTCGGTAGCACGTTAAAGAACCCCAGGTGGTAAAAATTTCCGGAGTCTTCCACTACGGCGTGTCTCTGATAATCATATGGTGGTTTTTAGACGTTAAACCTCACATATCGATAAATCAATCAATCAGTTATCCAGAATGCGTTAGTAAGGCAACACGTGCAGCTGCACACGTTGCTGATGCTCTAGTGAATAATGATAAATAATTATGCCAGTGTGGTTTACATTGGCCCCCCAAACCAACCACCCATTGAGCGATTCGCGTGTTTCGATCCCTGGCGTGATTCTATGCTTCTGCCAGGCAATAGTGCATGTGTTGGCGACACTCCTTGCACCACACAATTAATATAGCGTTTTTTTTTTTCTCAAAGTAATTTCGAGCACGGGCATGGCTCTGAGGAAGAACACCGACTTGCGACGGTGTTCTTTCTCAGAACCATGCTCGTGTTCGATTCCCACTCGAGCCGCAGATATTTTATTATTTTTTGTTTTCTTCAAGTGAATATGTCTCGAGTTTTCACTCAGTTACAACACTGATTTTTCGCTCACAACCAACGTGCCCGACACTGGATTTTCAGCGGAACGAGCTCTTTAACGCTATCCTGTTAAAGAGTGTGCATCAATGTTCCTGCTTCCTGCACGGAGAGGCGGGGAACGAGGAGCATCGAGCCACCCTCGCATTGAAATTACATCACAGACACGTGTAACGGGTACCTTGATTCCGCGTAAGAGAATAAATTAACGGCTAAGTGGGGACTTCCCCACTTCGCAAAATTATGATGATTCATGGCAGGGGTCTCAAACACGCGGCTTGTGAACCTTTCGCTAGCGCCTCACACATGACACGTATTCGTCCCATATATTTTTAATTATTTTTGTAATAATTACTTTCAGGAGCTCCACAGACATGAGTTGTCTCAAGCATTTGTGTGTGTGTGTGTGTGTGTGTGTGTGTGTGTGTGTGTGTGTGTGTGTGTGTGTGTGTGTGTGTGTGTGTGTGTGCGCGCGTGTGCGCTGCGCCCCAAGCAGTCAGCATGAGCTCAAACGTAACCATGGAATTTAAAAAAAAAACACTATATATACTACAGAACCGGCGTCCAGATTTCAGTCAAATCTCTGGAGATCCGTACCGATGTTTGTCAAATTCTCACTGCAAGACCCCTCCAGAAATGAACCATAGGATGTACGAAAAAGGCCTTCTTGCAAGTGCTAGCGTCTTATTCAAGACCTCCTCCCCTTTTCCCCATTCCCGCTCTAACCTTCCTCACTGCCCCGTTCCTACGTGACTGAATTTGTCGCAAGTACACCAACTTCCCACCCTACGTTTATATCTATCAATAAATGTTTTTCAATCAGTCATTCACGCTTCTCGCGCTTGGTTTTTGTCGCTGCAAACACTCGTTCGAACGGAGCACGAGAGTGCGCTGAAGCGTCGTGGTTGGTTTCAAGTGATCGCATCAAAAAGGAAAAACGAAGAGGCGCCAAGCGACTTTGATAAGGCGTATAAATGGGTGTTAGGAGCTTGTTCGCCAAGATTCCTCTCTTCGGGGCATGTCTCTTGGTGAGTAGAAGCGCAGCTGTGCAATGTACGCTAGGGTGTGGCGGGCGAGGGAAAACCAATCAGGCACCTTGATGTACCCACTACACGCCCACTGTAGCATTCATGAAGTAGGGAAGCACCCACTATGCCACCATGCTATTCGTCATTCTGCTGGTAAGCAAGCTACCCGCTACACATCAGCTGCGAAGAAGGCTCGTCGACAGGCGGATCCCGAAGTGAGAGCCTGCGTAGCTGAGGCCGCAAGAGAACATCGACTCGGGACTTGTTTCAACATTGCCTTTTCCAAGTTTCAACTGCAACCTCTCATTCAAGAACACCTCGCCACATACTTCACCAACCGTAGTCTCCAAAAAGAAACCCGTCCTACATCTTTGTAATCAGTAATGTAAACCTTGTATATAAATGCATCGATATGTAAATGATTAAATGTTGTGTATATGTAAGTGTATGTTCAATCACCCCTATAACATGTCACGTATTTTTATTACGGTAGAAAACTTGTGCGGAGTATTCACTGGTTCTCGCGATCAGTTCCGACCAAGCTCCTCCATCATCATTTCCTCTGTGGATATGTTGTTTATTTGTAGGTCACCTGATGAATAGAACAGAATATAAGTATATGCGTTCTTATTGCAGCAAAATCGTCAAATGGTTCATTCAGCAAAACAGAAGAAAAACTCTAAATCATGCGCTTATTATGGCTCTAATTATGCGGTTAATAAAGTGCTAATGTAGTTCTCGTTTGGATTTTAGTGTACTTCTAATGTAGGTCTTGACGTAGTTCTAATTTCTGCCTCCGTGGAACAGCGACTTTGGCGCTTGGCTGCTGACCCGGAGGTTGCGGGTTTGATTATGGGCATGGCGGTCACATTTCGATGGAGGTGAATAGGTAGATGTCTGTGTACTGTGCGATTTCAGTGCACGGACACCAGATGGCCGACATTTCCGCAACCCTCCACTACGGCGTCTCTCATAATCATATAGTAGTTTTAATACGTGAACCCCCAATTATTATTATTATTATTACTATTATTTTATTGTTTTTTTTGTTTATATAGTTCTAAATCATCTGCCTATATGCGACTCCACTACCCTGAACCCTGCGGAAACGCCTATAGAATGGCCGACCCATGGAGCTAGTATCACTTGGCAATCGCGCGCTTTGCGAGGCGATGACACACTTTCTTGCCGCATATTTCAACAGCGTTTTTAGCAATTTTAGATTAATCACTGCGACTAACTCTTGGACATCTCTGTAGATTATAACATTTCACACCTTGTTAGCTTATTTTGTACTAGTTTTGGGGGGACTGTTAACCTTGTTGCTGACCTGTGTTGACCAGTGCATCACCATGCGACACGAGACGCCCCCATTGGCTGCGATGGCACGTCATGTTCGTGCTTCCCATCGCAAATATTCCCTTCCCTATTTAGATTATCTTTTTTCGCATATAATCCCCCTCTTTTTTCTTCTTTTTATTATTAAATTTTATATTATTTTCTTCAAAAATTATATTTCCGCACGCCTCGTGGTCGATCCCCCGTGGTGGGTAGTGCCATTCTTCCGGGAATCATCATCATCAAAAGCTCAGCGGAGGAAAAGAAACGTTTGCTGGTGCACCGGCATATCACCACTACGCCACGTCACAATCGTGAACTTATCTTTTCCGAGCGTTCCTTGTCCGCACAACCTCTCGCTCACGTTCTTACTTCACCAAAATAATGGCTACAATGAAAATTAGCGCACAAAGAACAAAAATAAGTCTGAAAGGGAAAACGCTCGCGATTGCGACTTTCCAACCAACGTCCCCACGCTTCGTAGCTAAGTGTCTTTTCCATTGGGTTGAAACGGGGCCTCATGTAGATCAGCGAACTATACTTCACAACATAATGCAAAGTGGGCCGGACGTTTGACGTTACCATTTTCTCGCGCCGGGTTAGGCAATAGAAATTTTGGTCTTTGCAGCACAATATGCATAGACCTGATATCTGGGAGGCGTTCCATGTGGCCCTTTCCTCCTCTCTCTCTCTCTTTCCATCACGCCCACTGGTAAGCTGGTGTGCAGCCAGCCAAATATTTAACTATCATGAGGAGTGACGACTTTTTGTGTGTCAGCGCCACATGATGTAACAATGTCCCGAAAATTATTTCGAGGAAATATATGTGGCACGTGAGAATGCACCTGCCCTCATCTTTTTCGGAACTTGAAGGGGCTCTGCAATACTTATTGAGCGTGTTCAGAAAACATTGCCGATCGGTAGTAGAGGCTCCCGAAAACACGCGAGCCAAATATTATAGCGAAGCACGCAGCATAAAAATATGGAAGTCAGCAAAAAACTGCTTTTCTTTCTCTCGACAGCTTAGGGAAGACGCCCAAAAATCACTCCTATAAAAACTTCTCAGCCATTAGCTGATTTGAAAATGGCGTGCTTGGTAGTTACCGGGATCACCTTGGGAGGCCGCGACTTGTCCATGCGTGCGCGCGGTATCACACTGAAAAGGCCGCGTATCCGAAGAAAGAAAAAACTGCTCGAGCTCATGAGGCGCTCATGACGTATTTTATTTTCCCCTACCGTACCTCCCTGCTTAGCTTCCAGCACTTTCGTCGGGACGAGAGAAGAGAGATTGCGATCGCAGCGTGCGAACTAATTTTTCTAACTCTGTTTGCACTGGACGAATTCTTAAAATATTTAGCGGCATTAAATTCACGAGGCAATAAGCTCTTTTGAAGAATACATTTCACGGTTACTTGAAAACGTGTTTCAGGGTCCCTTTAATTCAATGATATGGTGAAGATACACAGAGCAGATTGCCGCTCGCACACGATAGCTAAAGATTCGGGTGACTGTACCAACTGTACCATGGAGCCAGCCCTGCACGTTCGCAACACGATTTCGCATGCGTTATTTTTAGACGCACTTTCTCGACATTACAGTATGTAATATATACTGTTAACGTATAATTTTTTGTATGTATAATTGTGTGTTATCATTATGTAGATATGTCGCCCAATTGTAATCCTATCTCTTATGTAATACGTTTTGTGAGCTGGATAGGCTCGCCAAGTACGCGGACTGCGACGGTGCTCTCGACATCCGCTATTACTTTTCGCAAGCATGCTTGGGATGCGCAATAATTGATTTATTAATAAGTTATGCTGCACATTGGCAACACGATTTCACATGCGTTATTTTTAGGCACACTTTCTCGACATTACACTATGTAATATATACTGTTAATGTATAATTTTTTGTATGTATAATTGTGTGTTATCATTATGTAGATATCTCGCCCAATTGTAACCCCATCTCTCATGTAATACGTTTTGATAGCAATAAAGTACTTCTATCGTAGAGGTGTTATCGTGCAATCTGCAAGGGCAACCTAATCATTCTAGAGAAATGTTCCGTTGGTCTCAATCGAAAATGCACCCGAGACCAGACTATATACCTACTCGCATAAAAATAGCTTGTTCGATCAACCTGAATACGTGCAAAAACACGAAATGTTCTCGTTTCTTTTCTTTTTCATAGATTCCCTTATGAAAAAATTTAATGTACATTTATAAACAGGCTAATGTCATTCGACATCACAATCATTAAACTGTCCAATGCACTTTTCTAATGTGTACTTAATGCGAGTCTAGTAGTAATTGGCCACCATTAGTCCATAGAGTTATGACATTAGAGTTTCTGATGACCATTGGCTAGTGTTAGTCTATAGAGTCCTGACATCTGAGTTTCTGATGGCCGTTGTCTAGTGAAGTGTCATCGAGCATATGCAGGTTGACATCAAAGGTCGCATTGTAGACTAAGGCCCTATGCCATCAACAGCACATTTGCTGAAAGTGCTGTTTTATAATTACAAACAAAGAAACACCACATGAGTAATTTCCAGGAATAACTGCATTTGTATTTAATTTTGGACTTCGCACTGATGATAGGGTCTCTTGTAGCATCGTCGTGGTGGCACCACTGCTGTATTTAAAACCTGCAAGAAAGAACATGAAAACATAGAAGGCACTGAAGCATACATTTTAGCCCAGCACATGAATAGACATAGCAATTGACGAGTTATGCCTTTTCTAAATATTGATATATATTAATCAGTTATATTAAATAATGCATCTGGATTCAATGTCGAACCACATAGCCTTGACTTCAAGCTGCATTGAAAAAAAAAAAACTAACCACTATGCATCAGTTCAGAGGTCTGCCGATTCATCACGAATTGGAGAGAAGCCAGCTACCACGAACAGAGGAATCAGCTCAGTCAGCTTCTCTAAGGCAATATTGTAGAATAACCTCCTTTCACGATTCCAATGGCACCCAAATGTATGACTACGGCATGCAACAGTGGGTCTATTCCACAACTTTGTTTACACAAAACTTCCACATTAAGACCCCTCTTCTTTAACAGAGAACTATTGAGGGCTCAAGCTCAGAGGTGCAAAGTCATAGACATGCGCAGGGTTTCTCTACACTCGGGTGGTGGGGAGGTTCACCACGGCACCCCCCTTACTTAAAGAGCTTCCGATTTTGTAGCCCCCATCTTAGGTAACAAGTTGGGTGAGAGGGGGGCTGCTCCCCACTCCTATGCACACGCCAATGTGCAATGTGAATTTGAGCAACAAAAAGGCACATGAAATGTAGAGCTATGTCTAGGTGATACAGCAACACAACTCTAGTGAAAACAATTAAAAAATTCTTTTTGTAACCTACAGTACATTACACAAATATGCATGTTGTAACATGTTACAGGTCATTTCTACACATCTTTCTACACACAACAGATCAGAGGAAGCAAGCAAAAACATTTTTGTACCCTTGATTACTTTTGCATATTATTCAATCGGTAAAAATACATTATTTAGATACCTTGAAGAGATGACAAAAGTTGTACAAAAAAGTCAATATTTTTACCTAGCTCAATGCTTTAGAGTGCACAGTTGCCCACGTTCACAAGCCAGTATTGCAAATTATGAAATTGATCGCTGGTCATTAACAAGCACAAGAATCTACACTGAGGTGTGCTGGCACTTGCTAACGTCTTGATAGGAAAAGGATATGAACTCTTTCTAAAAAAATATTTCAACAGCGGAAAAAACATGCACAATCAAAAGGGCGGCAACATGAACTAGCACTACTTTGTGTCGTCTCTCTTTTCTCTGTTCAGATTTTGCTGTACCTTAGAAAAATTTCTAGGCGATGAATTACCAACCCGACCAAACACTTGCACTAATCAAGTATTTAAGGAAAGAGCACCTCACAGTGTTGAACTCGTGTGACTATTTTAGATCATGCGGATGCCAAAAACATCGCCTGAACCCGTGTGTCACAGAGATAAAACAATTTAGGTGTATGTACGAGCTCAGCGGAAATAAAATGTACGCTCCGGAGTGAACAGCATCATGACCTGAGACGCCGACACAGAAAGAATAGTGGATGCAGCAGTCCATGTATTTGCTTGCACTCCCGTTTCCTCTCAAGTACGTACCAACATGCCCAGTATGGTCAACACATAGGTACAGTACTCACGGATCGAAACAGGACATTCGTAGAGCGTGGCCGCCAATGCATGTGTCGCCGCTCATGGGTGCTCGCGGAACCAGGGCATTGCACCGTTGTATAGAGTGAGGGCGGAAAAAGCTACGGAGCAGGCTTACTCCTTCCGATTGCTAAAAAGTCGGCAATTATTTAGTTCACAAAGTGTACACTGCCAGCGTGGCGCTGCAAGGCTAGCACACTTTTGTATGCATGCAGCCGGAACCGATGGGGACAGCACGAACCATTTATAATGTGACGCAGACAGACGACGCTCTTGATCGGCGCCCTTTGACTATGGAACATGTAGGCTTCGCAAGTAAGAAATTGGATACCGCTAAGATGTCGCGCCTGAAATTCACTCGTTGACATGATAAATAGCTGCACAAAAGCATGAAAAGTTTTTCAAGCTTTTTGTCACGACCAAAAAGAAAAGTGCCATCCATGGGCCTGTTTCGGTGCAGCATCAAAACAATGACTTAGTACTTTGTTGTCTCGACGCGAGCAGTGAATAGTGCGGCTATTCTGCGTGGCAAGCATTTGTAGAGCTGTTGGCCACGGAAGAAACGAGCGAGCTTCTCGCATTTTTATTCAACAATAAGCCACAGCGTGCCCTAACGACACTAATACATATTACTTTCATGTTGCATGAAGGAAAGCATGCCACACATTTTCTTTCTTGTCGAGACAGAAACCATGAAGTAAACTTTTCATGCTTTGTGCAGATGTTTATCATGTCTACAAATGCACGCAAGGTGCAATCTACTAACTGAATCCTGCGTCTTACTTGTACAGCATGCGTACCGCATTGCCTAAGCACGCATAACGAGAGGGTCGCCGGCTGGTGTGGCAATAAAAGTAGTGCGCAGCGGCGAGCCAGTTTGGTCCACATGCGAATGTGCGCGAGTCTTGCAGTGCTGCCTTGTCAGTGTACACATGGTGAACTACAGGCCGACAATTTGGCAATCGGAAGGAGTAGTCCTGCTCCATAGGTGTTCCCCCTATCGCCCTAAACCAAAACGCAACACATTAGGTTGTACGCGCACCCACGAACGGCGGCACATGTACCGTCGGCCACGCGCTCCGAGTGTCCTGTTTCAATCCGTGAGTACTGTACTTTTGTAAGAGCATGAATTTATTCAACAATTTAACTTTGCAGTCCAACAAGGCTATTCAAGGCACTATCACACAGATTAGACTTCTCTGTATGATAGGCCTCCATGTCTTGTGGCTGTGTTACATACACACATTCATGGTATTTTCATAGATTGTGGTGGGAACATATTCCAAACAATGTGATGAAACATGAGTATGTGCTGCCTCCCAAGAAAAGCTGTCCCTAATTCAGATGATCAAACTCTCAGGCCTAACGATTATCTGAGAAGGCTTTATTAGAAAGGAATGGGGTACTCAGATGTTGCACGATGTTACTTAAAACAAGATTGCACTACAACTTATAAAAATACCATAAATCTGCTCATACATGTGAAAATTCGAAAACAAGCTGAAACAACAACCCCTGTAACTTCCTCAAACAAGAATTTGCCGAATTCTTGTGGCAGAATGTGTACATAGTAAAAGTGTACTTATTTCAATTCATTAAATTTTTTAGACTTCAATGTTCTTTACCGTCCCTGTAAAAAGCACGAAAAATGAATGACACTTCTACTTGTAAAAAAATGAAATTTCTTAAAGAAACCTTTTAATTCTACTAAAAAATAATTTAAAGGGGTGGTGCCACCAAATTTGGAGGCTACCCCAAGCCTTTTGTGGTGTTAGGACTGTCATCATTATTGAAGTTTTTCGGCCTTTGCGAAAGGGACAAAAATATTTGGACGCATTCCAAGCAAGGGTGTGCGGTCAAGATGGTTTGATTTCTTCTGGGCAAAACCTGAAGGGAGGGTTCAGCCCAGAGAGGCCATTGTGAGCTGGACTCAAGAAAGGTCATTGTGTTTGCTGGGAGCAAGGCTTTCCAAGCAGACAAGGAGACAGCTGGGCCATTTTCGAGGTCACCCAGGATCTGGAAATCTTGGAAACAGCATGGTATTTGCAGTTCAGGCTGAAAGCCAAACTGGTTGTGACTGCATCTTGTGAGGAGAAGCGGAGCCCCGGATAGGAGCCCTGGATATGTGCTGTTAAACCACAGGTTCTAGCAAACAACCAGGAATGGCATGTGGGGTTGCAGAAAAGGATAATACCCCTGTCACATGGGCACCCGCGAAGACCGTTTAACTCCCTCGTCCTTACGACAACGAAGATGCGGTCCGTGTCACACGGCCACCCTTACCCAAACGAAGGTAAACGAAGCGTTTCGCAAAGGACGTTCAACGATCTCCCTTCGCAGCGAAACGAGGTACTCTCGTCCCCAGCAGTCTAGAGGTCAGAGAAAAATTTCGAGCACTAAGTGGCCGCAGTGAAAGAATAATACATTTTGGCAATCTTAAACGTTCTTTCGTTGTAGAACTCATTCACAACGCGTGTTTCTTTACATATATTTACGCCCGCCAGAGTTTACTTACTCTCAACACCTATGCTCTACACTCCGTGCCTCGAACGTGGTGCCTCGCGAGTCGGGCCGGCCGGCGCCATTGAAAAATATTTCGTCCATGCGTGTGGTTGTGGTCATCGCTGTGTCACTCATGGCTGAGGAACACAAAATGTGCGCTCACGAGGCAAGGAAGCACAAGAACTTTCGTACACAAACATGAACACAGGCAACAAAACACGGAGGAAGCAACAAAACAACTAAAAGCACAATGTGGCCAGCGTCACTAGCAGCATCGCTACATTTAACGAATTCGTTTTTATTTGAAAATATTTTTATGGTTTGTTAGCCTCGTACCTCCTTAATAGTGTTTTTTTTTTTGTAAAAACCCCAGAACGAGGATTCACAAAAAATCAATAGAGATGAAATTAGAATACTTTTCCGAAAATCACACAGCGCCAGCTGAGCTTCCTCGCGCCAACTGTTACAACCTTTTCATTGCCGTGTGACACTGCCACAACTCCTTCTCCGTCGAACCACCTAGGGGAGATTTACGTTGACGGTGTTCAACGGAGTTTAGTGGTGGCCGTGTGACAGGGGTATAATAATGCACTATCTGCTACAGCCCTTGCTGGAGCCCACCTAGGGGATGAGGGATTAGTTGACTACTCCTCTTTCCCTACTTTCTTCATAGGATCGGCTGAATGGGGTGGCATATTTTTAAAATATGCTGGCTCACCACTACATTGTCCTACCCAAACAGTCAGGCAAGTTTGGCAGGTTTACGGGCAGCCGGTTTTTCGAACCTCACCCAGCTGCGAGAAGAATCTTGGACACCAAAATCATCGGACATGCGCGAAACTTGGTGAGGTGTGCGAAAACGTCGGTGCAGTGCTTTGGTGACCATATTTGGGCATCCTGTGGACTGTGCCCTCTCCGCATGCATTGTGTGGTGTCTTTCCTCTCTTTCGTGGGTGGAGCACCTAGACCATGGAGCGCCCTATTGGCGGAGCCACGGACAATGCGCCCAGGGTTGGCAAGGAGGCGCTATATAAGCCGAAGACTTTCGTGTATTTGAAGCTCTACAGTTCAACAGTTCTCCTGTACAGTCCTTGACTTCTCCTTCTCCTTCTCAGTAACCTAAACCATGTAAATAAATCGTCGTTTTTACGAGCGCCTCATCTGACTTGTTCGAGGATGGGTCCTAGGACGGCGACCCGCTACCAAACTGAGACCCGCAAGACCCGGAGTCGCAACAGTGGATTTCCTCTGTATGCAAGCACTCTCCACACGAAGCGTTGGAGACTACAAACACGTAAAATATATTTAATTAACTTTTAAAAGTGTACCTGAATGCTCACTCTCGCGATCTAGTCCCATCGCTTGCGCAGAAACACTGACGTTTCAGAATAGGAGAAGCAACGGCAGTTGTTGTGACGTCACTACCAGTTTTGTAGTGACGTGAGTGACCTCCATCATCTCCGAAACGAGGCTGCTGTTACGAGTGTGCTGGCATCCCTTGCAGATAGACAGTGCGTGTCGCTCGAGGACACTGGGTGCTTTCGAAGAGACACTCTACGCGTCCTTTACGGACAACGAAGGCATCCGTCAGAGACGCTGCGCGCGTCCAACAGTGGGCCAGTCCCCTCCTCCTTCAGCCTACTGTACATACGTTGTAAAGATAAATGCTTTGTTTCTTTCTGGCTGCCTTTTGCCTTGCCAGTGCCTGGATGCTACTGCAGATGGCCACGGCGACTGTCAGTGCGTTTCTTTTTCTGGTGCTTGTGCGACACGTCTGTGAGAGCAGACGAAACTCAGCACGATGTACGTCACAGCCTTGTGTGGTAACGTGACCAAGCCACCTATGCATTGACGTCACTGCCCAACTCGGCGCCGCGAAACCGAAACCGAGAATGTTCCCCTCCCCATAAGTACAGCACTAGTAAATTCTTTAGCGAAAATACACGAATCTCGGTGCGTGTATCATGCTTTCTGGAGCCGAAGGAAATGCTTACAGCAAAGAAAACGGATGCCACAAATTTGGTGGCACCACCCCTTTAAGGTAAAAGCAATCGTCACGACAATAAGCGAAACATGATTATAAGTAAGATTTCACTGCACACAGTTTCATAGCAGTCCAAACAAAATGGATGTTGATGGAGGAAATTTGAAGAAAAGACCAACAAAGGGTATAGCAGGAAATGTCCTTGCAGCCAACTTTCCAACTTAGGTAATATTTAGCACAGTGTAACACAAAGACCATGAGAGAGGACGCAACACGTGCCCTAACTTTATATAAAATGGTTTATTGCAACCGAAACACTAAAAAATACAGGGTGAGCATCACGCCGTAAATTTTTGTGCTTCCGTTGCAATAACCCAATTTGTTTAAAGTGCACCGGTCTAATCCTTGTGTTATATTGAGCTAAATATTACCTAATGTTTAACAAACAATGCTGAATGTTTTCCCTTGTGCAACCCTTTAACAAGAACTCTTGCCTGTGTCAAGAGAGCAGTGACAAGAAACTGCTGTTCCCATTATCAAGACGCCTCCAAGAGTCACAACGTTGGCTCCGGCAACATTCCATGTTCAAGGAATACTGCATTGAAGTCCAGGACATACGCTTCCCACACCTAAGCTAAAAGACAGTGTATGCTATACCTCAATAGGTGCTATGTATTAGAACTATCACTCTGTGGTAACAAAAAGAAATGCCTACCACTTACTAAGGCTCGTTAGGGCTTGCAGAAAGACCGCTCCAATCGTGCACTGCAACCTGTCCTCTGTGTCGGGACCATGAACAGCTGTCATCGCCAATACATACAAAAAAGATACCACAAAAGATTACTTTCACACACAACAAACGTTATATCACACACAAATAGTGAGTACCAAACATGTCTCAGCAAAGTGTATACTGACACATTAAAAGGTAAATCCTTGAATAATGGGATCATGGCACAATCAAAACAGGCAATATTGGACTAGCCCCTTTTTGCTGATAACTGACAGAATGCCACTGAATGTTTCGCATTCACGAACACTACGCAGAGCATGCACATGTGTATGGCTGATCTAAATGATGAAAATAATATTTACAAAGAGTGCATGGTCTATGCACACATGGCGTGTGTAAGAGCGAGCCATACATACCGTATTACATCATAAATGTAAGCTATTCATGAAACAAACTGTTGGTACTCTGAAGCAAATTCCCATGTAGTTTGACTTTTGTTCACACAAGCTATTGTAGCATTTCTTTTCTTACATAAGCCCTTTGCAAAAATATTAATATTCCAAAACTTTCCGTCAACATCTGGAAACATATGAATAACATCTTTTTGCTTCTAATTTACTGCCTCCCAAGACAAAATAAATACTAAATCCCTGAATGCTACACATAGGTTATACATCCTTGTCACACAAGCAAGTAGGTGATATCAGTACAACACTGATGTAAAAATGAAAGCACAAAAATACAACTTGAAGCACCACACAATCAAGCAACAATTATACTACATGAGCACAGTGTAAGTTATTTGTGATGGAGCACCTGGTATGCTTCAAGTAGAAAACAAAGATTTATATAGCTAACAAAAGTTCACACAGATATTGCAACAAAGGGTGTCATGTATTAGTTTAACTAAATTGAATTCATACATTCTTCTACTAACACGCGATATCGACATATCTTCAATGCAGCAGTAAGAGTGTACTCTTAGTTTCAGCTCATAGTGTAGATTACTGAAATACGTATACTTCAAGCTAGCTATCTTAAAATATTTATGAGGCAGCTAGGGTGAAATTCTAACCACAGAGAAATTACATAGATTTCTGGCACAAGGATTCGGAGCGCAGCCACGAAAACATCCGTCGTGTGTGCTTCCCAGGGCTGTGCGTTTTTCTGTCTACGTGCCCAGTCGTGTGATTGTTTTGCGCGTAAAAACGCACAAACTATCAAGTTGGGTGAACGTGAACTGCTCTCGCGACACCCGAATGTTTAAAAGCAGACACTTTTATAGGGCGACAAGGGATCAAAGGATAATCTCGTGCAGTAAACAGCTGAGGAATACCAGCACGACGAGAGGCTTGCATGACTGAAGGATAGATCGCGTAGCGCAACGCGAATCTTTAAACATGCAATCAGCACACACTGCGACTGTTTCTCACGGTGATATAAAATAAGCCACCTTAAAACATACCTGCCTATCGGGTCTCTGGTTCGTCATCCTCGCTGTGCCAACAAGCCGCCCGGGCCATCGCTTCCTGCATGCCATTTGTCACCCAATGAAGTAACCCAGTTACGTAGTTCAGCGACTTTCTTCGACTTACCGAAGTTTTGGCATTGGCTGTGCACTCTTCAGTCGCCCGTCAAAAAGCTCACGCTCTCGTATAACATTAGCTCACTGCTTGTCACACCACGAGGTCATGGATTGTCTTCGGAAGTAGCACTCGACATTGAATCACGCGAACAACACGCGTAATCGATAAATGGAGGAAGAAATCACTTTTCAGATCGAACACAAAGGCGCGCGTCCGATATGGCTATTCAGAGCGGCAACGTACTGCGAGTCATAGTCCGCCACTCGATCAAAGCAGCAGAACTTCCGACACGCGCAAACTATACCGTAGACGAATTCCAGATGAGGATAAGTATACAATGCACGCAATCTATCAACACGGCAATTATGTAACCGCGGTTTTACTGCAAAGTTTTCGGGTGAAGCTGGTAGTGAGCCCACAGTCAAACGAGGCCTGTTGCAACTGCTGATTTACAGGCTTAACAAAAATAGGTGTGCAGGTGGCAGCACTAAGGAGTGCCTGCCACCGTTTAGCGTTCTTACTTGAACGCTAATTGGTCATTTTTTATAGCAAGCTTAGTTCTCTCTGTTGGTTATACGTACCTTTTGTGCCCCATTGTTTTCTATGTTTATTTTCCGTGTTGTGTCATAAACGTCGTGTGTGTGGTTACGGCGTCGTCTCAAAGTCCGTTTCTCCTCGCACGACACGCAAAACAAGCGTTGACGAACCTTAGCCCCGATGGGGAATGATTTTCATTACAATAAATGGCGAGCCTGACAGGATTAAGCTCTTCTTTTAATTACATTTAAGAGCCTCACCTTGCCCCGCCGCGGTGGTCTAGTGGCTAAGGTACTCGGCTGCTGACCCGCAGGTCGCGGGTTCAAATCCCGGCTGCGGCGGCTGCATTTCCGATGGAGGCGGAAATGTTGTAGGCCCGTGTGCTCAGATTTGGGTGCACGTTAAAGAACCCCAGGTGGTCGAAATTTCCGGAGCCCTCCACTAGCTACGGCGCCTCTCATCATCATATGGTGGTTTTGGGACGTTAAACCCCACAAATCGAGCCTCACCTTCTTTGTGTGCCGTGTTTGAGGAATGGACCTGGAAAAATAAGCACCATTCTGGGTAGAACATAGTAGGATTTAGGCCAAGGAAGAAATAATTGGTTGTAGAAGCAGTTAGGTGCAAACTAACGCAGGGGACAGGAGCGTTGAGGTTGTGTGATCAAGGGCAGCGAGACTGTTGCGCGGGAGAGCTTGACGCACTAATGTAATAGGGGAAGGGGCACGATGGTAGAGGCCGTCTTGGACTAACTAGAAACAGCCATGCGCCCTGGCTTTAGCACAGTTGGTGATGCAGGAGCCTTAGGTCGTGTGAACGATCACGCTAAGCTTGCGGGTGATTGTGGCATGACGGGTGACGGCTACAACAGTCGCAAGGACATTGTAAGTCAAGCAGGGGCTTGGCAGTTTCTGTTGGCGTTTGGCGTTGGCGCCTAGCAGTTTCGGAAGACTTTAGGCTTGAGGGCTGGAAAGCGCTGCTTAGTTTCATGCTACGCTTCCAAAGAATATCAAGTAAGCTGGACTTGATAAACTCAGCCTCTGTGAAGACTAAGTGAAGGCAGCCTTGCTGCTGTTTAAGAAACAGGACATAGAGATCCCATTAAATGGCTAGCCATAGCACATGCTGGGCAGATAGCGTCTTTTTTCAATTCTTCCAGATTGGTTGGCCAAAAGCGCAGCTAATACAAAATGTATAGGTTACCCTAAAGTGCCTCGCAAGTTGAAACCTTTGCAGGAAGGGGTATTCCAGGGTAAAGTTGTTCGGTTGACGTGCAGAGGCTTGTGTGGAACGTGACGTAGCTACATGCATACATACGTTACTAGAATTGTTCCCGCTTTCCCGCTTCAGCGAAAAAACTTTGTTGTGTGTTTATTCAGAAGATTGCAGCAAATATTTCTTGGGTAGAGTATTGCAGCCTGGACAGAAGAGTTAAAAATTGAATTTTACTGATAGAGCTGCTTTAAAAAACTTTATTTCTGCGTTAAGTTAGTATAAAAACGAAAATCGCGCGTGTAAATGCAATCGCAGTAGAAAAGTGTCAGGCCATTTGGGGTCATGCATTGTTTGTTATTGGTTCTTGTTGCCCGTGTGCATGTCTAGTTTGGAAGTTTGCATTCTTTTGGACTGTGTCATTGTGAAATCAAGTGAGATTGTGATATTGAGACATTAAAGTAAGGACCAAGGCTTAATTGATACATGTTTTCATTCCTCATCACTGTGTATCTGCGAGAAAAGTTGTTTGACTGGAACAAATTTCTTGTGTGGGGGGTTGTTGTGATGGGTGAAGAAAACGACGACGACGGAAGTGCGGGGCATCTTACTTAATTAAGTCATCGATTCTTGGCCGATCCCCCTGAGTGGGTACGAGCCATGTCTGTGGAATCATCATCATCAGCAGCAAGGCGCGTGTGATTTGGAGCCAACTGTGAGCGTGAGGTCAGCCAATCAGCTGATGACCTGTGGCGGCCCATAGAGGTGGCGCGCCACAATTGGGCCACGTGTGACCATTACGTGGCGGTAAGCTTCGTTGCTGGTGACGAGCCGAAGCAGCGGCAGACGGAAGACAGCGGGCCGAAGCGTCGGACGGAGGCGATCCAGGTTCCGGCCAGGGAACGCGGCTGTCCACGCTACTGCCGTCCAACTACCAGCTGGGGTGACATTGCCGGCAGGAGTACTGCATCTCGGGGCGCTGGCCTGGCCTGCTGTTTTCTTCCTTGCCGAGGGCATCGCGGATCTCGGCGAGGCGTCTCCACGGTCAGCCGTTCGGCACAGCGATGAACGTGGCCTTGGCCTGGCTAATGGTCACGGTTGCGCCGAGCATCGCGTCTCGGCGCACGCTCTTCGCTGGACGGGCTGGCCATTGCACGCTTGGAGCATCACGTCTCCGATGCGGGTTGACTGCTCGGTAGTCGCACCCACGCCGTCAAACCAAGGCGTGTGGCTAAAGAGTGTTATCGGCGGCCTCCAGGTTGTTATAGTGCCAATTACATATGCACGCTGCGAGGGACTCCTCTATTGCTATAGCACCTTGCAGAGCCGGAGCAAGCACAATGACTCCCCGACCTGGCTGGCCACCCTGCGACTTGGGCAACGCAATTTCCCATCATACCCTACGGAAAAAGCCACTCGGGGCGAAGCCAAGGAGGTGGCCGCAGCACGGGCAGTCTCGGAGCTTGGGCTTCACCAACAAGAGGTGCGAATATGCGACTGGCTAGCGGGGTGACGTGCGTCATCGTCATTTAGCATAATCACTAGTTCGTTTTGTTTCTATCTTTTTATTTATTACTGCACCTTTTGTCACTGTACTACAACTACTGCGTCTCCTTGGTAATGCAGGAGGAAGGGCAACCCCGCGGCTTTGATCGGGGGCTAGAGCCAGAGCAGATCATCGGTGCTACGGACTCTAGTGGGGAGCTCATGCTCTTGATAAAATGGTGAGTAGCTAGCCAGTGTGGCACTATCACTCCTCTCAGAGTTCAGACAGCACCCATTCCACCACAACCTCGATTCCTTTCTCCTAAAATTGTTTGGAATTGTGCCATCGCAGGAAAAACAGGACTCCTGTGACTCCTGCCTCGAACCCGAAGAATTATCGGTCTCGGTGCGCGGTTTGACTAGCATTGTGCTTGATAAACCACACGGAATACTCAAGGAAGGTTTTGAGCCTCAGTACAAGGAGATTTACTCAGAACAGTTTTCAGGGAACTGGTGTGAGCACTTAGTGAAGTCCAATGCCGTTCACACAGAAATGAAAAACCTGTGCATAGTTTACCCTCTTAGTGTCGCTAAGACTGAACCCACAAGATCGAAGGCTGCACCCGATCAGGAACTTTTGAAGAACGGCCACAGCTCCGACATCTCGACCGGCTCACCCACCAGCTCCGCCGGAGAACCATGTATCATCTCCGAGTATGTGGATGTGTTCATATCATGCGTGGCAAGCACTACCAAGGTGTACTTCAGATTTATCGAGTACGAAGAGGCGTACACCAAACTACTTCAGGAGATGACTGCATTCTTCACGAGTGGGCCATCTTCCACGAAAATCGCCGATTCTCCTGAGGTGGCCAAGCTGTACGCCACTTGTTACAACGGTCGATGCCTGCGAGTGGAGCCGCTCAGGAACGCCGAGAAAGGGAAGGTGGAGTGCTGCTTCGTTGATGAGGGAAACAGCCTCTCATCTGTGTAGAAGATCTGTGGGAGCTTCCTGAGCACTTCGTAGAGCTCGCCCATCAGGCTGTTGAATGTGAGCTGGATAGGCTCGCCGAGTGCGCGGACTGCGACGGTGCTGTCGACATCCGCCTCCACTATTACTTTTCGCAAGCATGCTTGCGATGCGCAATTATTGATTTATTAATAAGTTATGCTGCACGTTCGCAACACGATTTCGCATGCGTTATTTTTAGATGCACTTTCTCGACATTACAGTATGTAATATATACTGTTAACGTATAATTTTTGTATGTATAATTGTGTGTTATCATTATGTAGATATGTCGCCCAATTGTAATCCTATCTCTTATGTAATACGTTTTGTGAGCTGGATAGGCTCGCCGAGTACGCGGACTGCGACGGTGCTGTCGACATCCGCACACTTTCTCGACATTACACTATGTAATATATACTGTTAACGTATAATTTTTTGTATGTATAATTGTGTGTTATCATTATGTAGATATCTTGCCCAATTGTAACCCCATCTCTCATGTAATACGTTTTGATAGCAATAAAGTACTCCTATCGTAGAGGTGTTATCGTGCAATCTGCAAGGGCAACCTAATCATTCTAGAGAAATGTTCCGTTGGTCTCAATCGAAAATGCACCCGAGACCAGACTATATACCTACTCGCATAAAAATAGCTTGTTCGATCAACCTGAATACGTGCAAAAACACGAAATGTTCTCGTTTCTTTTCTTTTTCATAGATTCCCTTATGAAAAAATTTAATGTACATTTATAAACAGGCTAATGTCATTCGACATCACAATCATTAAACTGTCCAATGCACTTTTCTAATGTGTACTTAATGCGAGTCTAGTAGTAATTGGGCACCATTAGTCCATAGAGTTATGACATTAGAGTTTCTGATGACCATTGGCTAGTGTTAGTCTATAGAGTCCTGACATCTGAGTTTCTGATGGCCGTTGTCTAGTGAAGTGCCATCGAGCATATGCAGGTTGACATCAAAGGTCGCATTGCAGACTAAGGCCCTATGCCATCAACAGCACATTTGCTGAAAGTGCTGTTTTATAATTACAAACAAAGAAACACCATATGAGTAATTTCCAGGAATAACTGCATTTGTATTTAAGTTTGGACTTTGCACTGATGATAGGGTCTCTTGTAGCATCGTCGTGGTGGCACCACTGCTGTATTTAAAACCTGCAAGAAAGAACATGAAAACATAGAAGGCACTGAAGCATACATTTTAGCGCAGCACATGAATAGACATAACAATTGACGAGTTATGCCTTTTCTAAATATTGATATATATTAATCAGTTATATTAAATAATGCATCTGGATTCAATGTCGAACCACATAGCCTTGACTTCAAGCTGCATTGAAAAAAAAAAAACTAACCACTATGCATCAGTTCAGAGGTCTGCCGATTCATCACGAATTGGAGAGAAGCCAGCTACCACGAACAGAGGAATCAGCTCAGTCAGCTTCTCTAAGGCAATATTGTAGAATAACCTCCTTTCACAATTCCAATGGCACCCAAATGTATGACTACGGCATGCAACAGTGGGTCTATTCCACAACTTTGTTTTACACAAAACTTCCACATTAAGACCCCCTCTTCTTTAACAGAGAACTATTGAGGGCTCAAGCTCAGAGGTGCAAAGTCATAGACATGCGCAGGGTTTCTCTACACTCGGGTGGTGGGGAGGTTCACCACGGCACCCCCCTTACTTAAAGAGCTTCCGATTTTGTAGCCCCCATCTTAGGTAAAAGGTAACAAGTTGGGTGAGAGGGGGGCTGCTCCCCACTCCTATGCACACGCCAATGTGCAATGTGAATTTGAGCAACAAACAGGCACATGAAATGTAGAGCTATGTCTAGGTGATACAGCAACACAACTCTAGTGAAAACAATTGAAAAATTCTTTTTGTAACCTACAGTACATTACACAAATATACATGTTGTAACATGTTACAGGTCGTTTCTACACATCTTTCTACACACAACAGATCAGAGGAAGCAAGCAAAACATTTTTGTACCCTTGATTACTTTTGCATATTATTCAATCGGTAAAAATACATTATTTAGATACCTTGAAGAGATGAGAAAAGTTGTACAAAAAAGTCAATATTTTTACCTAGCTCCATGCTTTAGAGTGCACAGTTGCCCACGTTCACAAGCCAGTATTGCAAATTATGAAATTGATCGCTGCTCATTAACAAGCACAAGAATCTACACTGAGGTGTGCTGGCACTTGCTAACGTCTTGATAGGACAAGGATATGAACTCTTTCTAAAAAAATATTTCAACAGCGGAAAAAACATGCACAATCAAAAGGGCGGCAACACGAACTAGCACTACTTTGTGTCGTCTCTCTTTTCTCTGTTCATATTTTGCTGTACCTTAAAAAAATTTCTAGGCAATGAATTACCAACCCGACCAAACACTTGCACTAATCAAGTATTCAAGGAAAGAGCACTTCACAGTGTTGAACTCGTGTGACTATTTTAGATCATGCGGATGCCAAAAACATCGCCTGAACCCGCGTGTCACAGAGATAATACAATTTAAGTGTATGTACGAGCTCAGCGAAGAAATAAAATGTACGCTCAGGAGTGAACAGCATCATGAGCCGAGACGCCGACACAGAAAGCATAATGGATGCAGCAGTCCATGTATTTGCTTGCACTCCCGTTTCCTCTCAAGTACGTACCAACATGCCCAGTATGGTCAACATATAGGTACAGTACTCACGGATCGAAACAGGACATTCGTAGAGCGTGGCCGCCAATGCATGTGTCGCCGCTCATGGGTGCTTGCGGAACCAGGGCATGGCACCGTTGTATAGAGTGAGGGCGGAAAAAGCTACGGAGCAGGCTTACTCCTTCCGATCGCTAAAAAGTCGGCAATTATTTAGTTCACAAAGTGTACACTGCCAGCGTGGCGCTGCAAGGCTAGCACACTTTTGTATGCATGCAGCCGGAACCGATGGGGACAACACGAACCATTTATAATGTGACGCAGACAGACGACGCTCTTGATCGGCGCCCTTTGACGATGGAACATGTAGGCTTCGCAAGTAAGAAATTGGTTACCGCTAAGATGTCGCGCCTGAAATTCACTCGTTGACATGATAAATAGCTGCACAAAAGCATGAAAAGTTTTTCAAGCTTTTTGTCACGACCAAAAAGAAAAGTGCCATCCATGGGCCTGTTTCGGTGCAGCATCAAAACAATGACTGAGTACTTTGTTGTCTCGACCCGAGCTGTGAATAGTGCGGCTATTCTTCGTGGCAAGCATTTGTAGAGCTGTTGGCCACGGAAAAACGAGCGAGCTTCTCGCATTTTTATTCAACAATAAGCCACAGCGTGCCCTAACGACACTAATACATATTACTTTCATGTTGCATGAAGGAAAGCATGCCACACATTTTTTTTCTTGTCGAGACAGAAACCATGAAGTAAACTTTTCATGCTTTTGTGCAGATGTTTATAGTGTCTACAAATGCACACAAGGTGCAATCTACTAACTGAATCCTGCGTCTTACTTGTACAGCATGCGTACCGCATTGCCTAAGCACGCAGAACGAGAGGGTCGTTGGCTGGTGTGGCAATAAAAGTAGTGCGCAGCGGCGAGCCAGTTTGGTCCACATGCGAATGTGTGCGAGTCTTGCAGTGCTGCCTTGGCAGTGTACACATGGTGAACTACAGGCCGACAATATGGCAATCGGAAGGAGTAGTCCTGCTCCATAGGTGTTCCCCCTATCGCCCTAAACCAACACGCAACACATTGGTTGTACGCGCACCCACGAACGGCGGCACATGTACCGTCGGCCACGCGCTCCGAGTGTCCTGTTTCAATCCGTGACTACTGTACTTCCTTAAGAGCATAAATTCATTCAACAATTTAACTTTGCAGTCCAACAAGGCTATTCAAGGCACTATCACACAGATTAGACTTCTCTGTATGATAGGCCTCCATGTCTTGTGAACTGTGTTACATACACACATTCATGGTATTTTCATAGATTGTGGTGGGAACATATTCCAAACAATGTGATTAAACATGAGTATGTGCTGCCTCCCAAGAAAAGCTGTCCCTAATTCAGATGATCAAACTCTCAAGCCTAACGATTATCTGAGAAGGCTTTATTAGAAAGGAATAGGTACTCGGATGTTGCACGATGTTACTTAAAACAAGATTGCACTACAACTTATAAAAATACCATAAATCTGCTCATACATGTGAAAATTCGAAAACAAGCTGAAACAACAACCCCTGTAACTTCCTCAAACACGAATTTGCCGAATTCTTGTGGCAGAATGTGTACATAGTAAATGTGTACTTATTTCAATTCATTAAATTTTTTAGACTTCAATGTTCTTTACCGTCCCTGTAAAAAGCACAAAAAATGAATGACACTTCTACTTGTAAAAAAATGAAATTTCTTAAAGAAACCTTTTAATTCTACTAAAAAAAAATTTAAAGGGGTGGTGCCACCAAATTTGGAGGCTACCCCAAGCCTTTTGTGGTGTTAGGACTGTCATCATTATTGAAGTTTTTCGGCCTTTGCGAAAGGGACAAAAATATTTGGACGCATTCCAAGCAAAGGTGTGCAGTCAAGATGGTTTGATTTCTTCTGGGCAAAACCTGAAGGGAGGGTTCAGCCCAGAGGGGGCCATTGTGAGCTGGACTCAAGAAAGGTCATTGTGTTTGCTGGGAGCAAGGCTTTCCAAGCAGACCAGGAGACAGCTGGGCCATTTTCGAGGTCACCCAGGATCTGGAAATCTTGGAAACAGCATGGTATTTGCAGTTCAGGCTGAAAGCCAAACTGGTTGTGGCTGCATCTTGTGAGGAGAAGCGGAGCCCCGGATAGGAGCCCTGGATATGTGCTGCTAAGCCACAGGTTCTAGCAAACAACCAGGATTGGCATGTGGGGTTGTAGAAAAGGATAATACCCCTGTCACACGGGCACCCGCGAAGACCGTTTAACTCCCTCGTCTTTACGACAACGAAGATGCGGTCCGTGTCACACGGCCACCCTTACCCAAACGAAGGTAAACGAAGTGTTTCGCAAAGGACGTTCAACGATCTCCCTTCGCAGCGAAACGAGGTACTCTCGTCCCCAGCAGTCTAGAAGAGGTCAGAGAAAAATTTCGAGCACTAAGTGGCCGCAGTGAAAGAATAATACATTTTGGCATACTTAAACGTTCTTTCGTTGTAGTACTCATTCACAACGCGTGTTTGTTTACATATATTTACGCCCGCCAGAGTTTACTTACTCTCAACACCGATGCTCTACACTCCGTGCCTCGAACGTGGTGCCTCGCGAGTCGGGCCGGCCGGCGCCATTGAAATATATTTCGTCCATGCGTGTGGTTGTGGTCGTCGCTGTGTCACTCAT